TTGCTTTTAGCCGTGTTGAGTGATGTTCATATCCATGGGACCAAGGTCATATCAAACTGTCTTAATTCTGCCACCCAGGGATCTGTCATACTTGAGTTTTGCCGTGGCAGAGCAAGTGAAGCATCCTGTTACTGTTACATCTGTGTGTGGTCTCCCTGGTGCGTGCGTGCTTGCACTCTCTCTCTCTTGCTCGCTAAAGTAAAACACAGATAACCTTTTCCTTTCAATGCCTTTTTGTTAAGCCAGACAACGTGAAACAGCTGCTAGTGAGCCTGTGGATTTGCCTCAGTACTTCCCACAGCATTGTCAGAAATAAACTGCAAATTATCTGTTACCCTGTCCAGAAGAGATTTTGAGAGATTCAATTCCACAGTAACTTTCTCAGTGCATGCAGGCAACACTAATTGGAGCAGCAGGAAGTTGTTAGCTTTGCTACCTCTTTCTGTGTCTGTTTTTAACGGTTCAACAAATATAAATATTTTAGAAGTGATCCCGTTGATTTTGTAATGTTTCTACTTGTCCTTTTAACATGTATATTCTGTGAAACAATGTATGCCTTGGATCCTTGTTTGTTCGGGTGCTTTTGTGCTGCGTGTGGCAACGCCAGAAACGGGAACTGATGCGGCTTCTTGAGATGGAGTTTTTTCTCCCTGGGCTTTTGATCCAACGTGTGTATTGGAAACAAAACTCATTCTTACTGCCTGTGAATCTGTACCAGATGGGGGGCAACCCACAAATAATCCTGCCTCTCCTTCCTAAATAAAAAGGGAAAAGAAATCCATCTGGGATTTGTGCATAATGCTGTTTTTATCTTGGAAGAAGTATGGGAGGATCCTTTGCCTTGCAGCCAGCCTCCAGCAGCACAGAGGCGGGTGTGCCTCTGCAACATGAGGCACGAAGCTTTCCAGCTCTTCCAGCTGGAGAGGTGGTTTCAGGATCTGTTATCAGAAAGGAATTCGTGTTCCAGGGTCTTACATCCTTTAATGGTTTGACGCTTGTTCCTAATCCAAATGTTGCAGCAGAGCAATTCACCTTTCTGAACTGCAGCAAAAGAGAAGCCGTATAATGTTCTGTTTATGAGAACCTCCTGTAGGTTGTGTTGTTTTTTCCTTTCCCATGAAATCACTGTGCTCCTCAGAAGTTTGTTTAGAAGTCTCCTACACTTAGAATTACAGTCCACCTCTTTAAAAATGAAGGCTAAGGAACTGCATAGCTATTGGGAATGGAGCGTGCTGCTGGGGCTCCCTCTGCTCCTCTGGTGGGCTTGGCCTGGTTGCTCCCAGCTGCAGCAGGTCATGTTCCTCAAATGCTGTTTTAGCAGAGCTGCAGCAAAACCTCCCCAGGAGTTTTTTTTTTCCCTCTTCAGGATGTTATTCCATTGATTGCTTTGTCTTACACAGTGAATTATCTGGCCTACCTTGTGTGCAGCACAGGGGAGCCCAAAGCTTGCCTAAGTGGCTCTTGAATGTTCCGTGTTTGTCCCTCATTTTGTTCTAGCTGGTTTGGTTGTCTGGTTTCTGTTTATTCGTTTTAATGAGAATATAGCAAAAAGATAAAAATGTGCCAAGGAATATTTAGTAGGAAAGATCTGGGTAGTTCTATTTAGGTGTATTGCTAAAGGTAACAGGCCATAGTGTCTTACAGGTCTTACAGTGGGTAAGTCAACCTGAATTCATGGAAAATAGACCTATCAGTCTAACTTGATATTTTTATATTTGAGCTGAACTGCTTGGGCTTCTGGTTGAATTGATAGTGCAAGGTATATTGCATGGTTTAATGGAATTAAAACAAAAACCACCAGGTCAAAATAAAAAGGGAAGGATTTGATTTAGGAGTGGAAGGGCAGAGCTGCTCGGTGAGCGCGCTGCAGATTTCCTCAAGGAGCAGTTTGTGAGCTGAGCTGTTCGGAGCCGCCTGGAAGGAGGCGGAGCTCCCCAGCAAAGCGGGCTGCTGGCTGAGCGGAGCTGCTGGCACCGGGCCGCCAGAGCTGCTGGTGCTGGGAAACGCCAGGCCGCGTCCTGAGCGGCGCGCGGTGCATCGCAGCGAGGAGGTGGCAGAGCGTGACGGCGGGGTGAAGGTTGAGTGCGTTCCTCTCCTGCAGCAGTGGGAGCCCTTGCCTGCTTTTGGCACTGCTGCTTCAGGGAATGAATGCCACGGCTGTGCCTCTGGCTTTTAAAAACACGTAAATGATTAAAAGCTTGGAAAACATTATTTATGGTGAGACAGTTGAGCTCAGTGTAGTTTATCGAAGAAAAGGTTACAAAATTGCAGTGCAGAAGTTGTTGCACGGGGAATAGAAACTTTGTCAAAGGGCTTTTTGATCTGGAGGATGAAGCTGAAGTTAAAAGCAAGAGCAGTTCAGACTGGAAGCAGCTATTTCTGCACATTTATCATTAGGTCATTAACTGTGGAAACAGCTTAGCTAGATTTATAATGGATTCTCTATAAAGCTGAAGTTTCAAAGCTGGAAGGCATGCTTTTCAAACATCTTATTGAGACGAGAATTAGTTCAGGAGAGTCCTGAGCCCTCTGCAGCAGTCAGAGGGATTGGTTTTAGGAACCAAGGAAAGGAGCTGCTGGCTGGTGTGATGGTAACAAATTTGTCTTCTCCACAGGCATAATTTTACCTGCATTTTGACACCGTTTCATTTTTAAAATATAGTTTTCCTGATGCGCTTTGCATCCAGCTGCATTTTGACTGCTCTGAGTAAATTTTGCCCTTACCAGATCTTGTCCTGCTGCTACTTCTGCCGAATTCCCATTTGCCACGTTGCTTTTTTTCTATTGTTGCTTCCTTTCAAATCCTTTAACTACCCATGAAAGGCCTCCAGGCCTGTTGTGTGGCACCTTTGTGTTTTTAAGTGCCTTTCTGAATGTCTTGTGGAAAGCAAAAGCAACCTCTGCCAAACAGCTGCCCCTTTTCTGCAGGCAAGCTGACCCATCAGAGCTGAAGGGGCTCGAGCTTCAACCGCAGGAACTGCATCGAAGCCTTCTCCAAATTCACCTGCTAGGAGCAGCAGCCATCAGTGTTCCTCTGAAGGGCACTGGCTCTGCTGACCTCAGATGCTGGATGCTGCCTGCTGGGCACAGCCCCCATCTCCTGTGGCTCACCAAGCGATGGGGCCAGCAGGCCTGGAAGCGCTCAGCACATGAAGGAGGCATTAACAAAGTTGTTTACCTATTTTATATGAGGATTAAAAAAGGATCCCAAGTCTTTGCACTGGTGCTTAACTCTCCTGTGTTGCTGGGGCTGGCTTTAGTGCAGCTGCAGCATGCGGGTGCTGCCTCAGCTCTTGTCCTGTCAGAAAACTCCCTGAAAGGGAGGGCACGTGCTGCAGGCTTCCTGCAGACACAGAATCACAAGGTTGGAAACGACCTGCAAGATCATCTAGTCCAACCACCCTCCCATTCCTATCAGTACCACAAGCAATAAACCATCTCTCGTAGCTCCTCAACCAGACGCCTCTTGAACACTGCCAGGGATGGAGACTCCACCACCTCCCTGGGCAGCCATTCCAGTGCCTGACCACCCTTTGAGAGAAAAAGTTTCTCCTAATATCCAACCTAAACCTCCTCTGGTACAACTTCTGGCCGTTTCCTCGGGTCCTGCTATTTGCCTGGGAGAAGAGGCCAGACCCTTTTGCACCACAACCTCCCTTCAGGAAGTTGTACAGTGCAGTGAGGTCTCCCCTGAGCCTCCTCTTCTCACACTGAACCATCCCAGCTCCCTCAGCCGCTCCTCATAAGCCTTGTGCTCCAGACCCCTCACCAGTTTCATTGCCCTTCTCTGGACACGTTCCAGGGCCTCAATGTCTTACTTGTAGTGAGGGGCCCAAAACTGAACACAGCACTCGAGGTGCGGCCTCACCAGTGCTGAGCACAGGGGATGATCACCTCCCTGCTCCTGCTGGCCACACCATTCCTAATGCAGGCCAGGATGCCCTTGGCCCTCTTGGCCACCTGGGCACCCTGTGGGCTCATGTTCAGCCGAGCATCAACCAACACCCCCAGGTCCCTTTCCTCTTCACAGTCATCCAACCACTCATCCCCAAGCCTGTAACGCTGCATGGGGTTGTTGTGGCCAAAGTGCAGGACCCGACACTTGGCCTTGTTAAACCTTGCAGGTGAAGGAGAAGAGGCTACGAGGTGAAGAACTGCAGATGGGCATGGAAGCAGCGTGTGCAGTCAGCAGCACAGTGCTGAAGCTGCCTTGGGAGCACCTCAGAGCTGAACGCTGGCAGCTCCTGCCTCTCTGTGAGCCCCAGTTCCTTATTAGCACAGAACGCTGCCGTACACAGACTTGAGGCATATGGGGGAAGGGAGGGCTGAGAGCTCCAGATGTGTTGCAATTAGCTGAAATGGAATGGAACAACGTGGAGAGGAGGTGCAGTTTGTCATGGTGTTGCAGCACCAGCCACTGTGAAGGATGTATGGTGAGCTGGGCTGTGCCTCCTTAAATAAGTGTGCAGTGAGCAAGTGTATAATGCTGTCTACAGCAGACACCAAGTGCAGAATGAGTCCATTGGTGTTCAGCATTAAACTTTAATGCATCCACCTATTGTTACTGCTTCTGAATTTCAAGTATTTGTTACATGTTATAAATCTGAGCAGCTCTCATCCTCTGCATTTAAGGCCTGGGGTTTCCATATGCCCCCAGGATGAACAGAGCCAGCCCAAAGGACAGGGGAAGCACAACAGCTGTTTGATGCTTCCTGCCGTGGTCTCCTGGAGCACCAAGCTTTGTGGGAAGGGGAGCCAGCATCAGCTGAGCTACATCACTGAGAAGGAACCTGAGCTGTGGAGCTGTGACTTAGATTCTTGAAAATGGCTGGGTATAGATGTAGAGTGGTTTGAGCAGGGAATATTTGGCCATGACAGTTCCATGACTGCTTAAAACTAATAATGAGTTAAAGCTGAGAAAGTGTCGAGCTTTTGCAGACGCAGGATTTGTCTTCCTGTCAGAGGAAAAAATCCTTCAGATGGCATCAGTTAAAAGTGAGCCTCTGCCAAAGATCTTGTTCAGAGCATTGTGACCAAGCAGCACGATTGTTCCTGCACTGCGCCAGGAAAGTGACAATTTCTGGACAAACAATGTGTGAGCAATGCTGACCAGATCTGGTGGGGGGGAGCCAGTGGGGTTTTCTGCAGCGTTCATTCCATCGTGGTCTAAACATGGATGATACTCAAGCTTCCAGTTCACAAACATTGTGCAATCACTCTCCTTCTGTCCTAAACTTATTTGTAAGGCAGATCTCCGTGGCCAGGCGGTGCACTTATGTGGCTGAGTACCGTCTTGTCTTTCCGGTTTCATAAATGCCTGCTCTCTGGTCAGCAGCTGCTGATTCTGCCCAGTATTTAACGCTGTAATAACAATAATTTGACTTTTTATAATCACAGAAGAGGTGTAGTGAAAGGCCCTGATAAATTCCAGTCACCTGCTCAGGAAATGTGACAAGCAAGCAGCAAAGAAGTTGTCAGAGAAGTGCCGAAAGGTCTGCTCCTGTGACAGCATGGCTGTGTGCTCGGGGATGAGCTCTGGGCAGCAGAGCATTGCCTCGTGCCACCACGTGCTTGCCAACATTCCAGCAGCGCATGACAACACAAACCATCATGGCCATGTATGTGGGAGAAGGGTTTTCAACAGGGAGATGGAAGGGACACAAAAACACAGCATTTATTTACATGAATACTTACAAAGGATATGTCTCCCCACTCCCACAGCTGTCAGCAGAATCTAGATCTAGAATTTATCTAATTGCAGCTTTCATGGGAGCTGCAGCAGCTGCATGGGAAGCAGTACCTGGCTGGGGCATCCCAGACATGAGCAGAACAGCAGGGAGCACAAAACAACAGCTGCTGATGCAGTAAGTGGGCAAGGAAAATCAGTGAGAACTGGCTGCTGTGGTCCTGGATGTTAGCTGACACAATCTGGGGACCGATGGAACTGGTAGCACCGGTCACCTATGAGATGAAGCTGCCATGTGGCTCTGAAGCTCTTCGGGGACAGAATGTCCATCCTTAGGGTCACATAGTCCCACTCTTTACTCCTTCCAAAACCCCGATTAGCCAAATAGTTGGGAAGTCCATAAATGGCACACACCGCTCAAGTGCCCAGCTGATGTGCCCAGCTGATGCAGCCATCAGAGCAACGGGAAACTCCTGATTGTTGCTAATGACAGCACTGACGATCTGGTAAATAGCAGCCCGCCCACTGGCCTCCAGCGGCCCAGTGCCTCCATCACGAGGCTGAAGTGGATCTGGTGTCACACACAAGGCTGCCCCATCTCCAGGGACGCTGCTGGCAGAAATTACTACAGAACAAGTTTCCTGCCAACCTCAGCAGCTCTAATGAGTCAGGAAGCAGTAATCTGGGAGTAGGGCAGCTGTTGAAAGAGCCTAATTATTTTCTGACAGTTCTCTAATGCAGATGAAAAATACAACACCTACACAGGGTTAGACACTGCAAGCAGGGCTAGTGACTACGCATGCACCTGCCAATGTACACACACAAGCCCTGTGCAGACTGCTTCCCGCTCACACCTGCTGCTATCCACTGCTTACACGGGGAGAAGAGCTTACTTATAAAACAAGAAAATACCTTAATTACACAATACATAAATTTTAACAGGAGTCTCGTGTTTCAGTGCCTGGCAGTTAACTGGCTGAGATTTTCTTGTGTTTCGTCTATGTTACTCCATACAGAATCACTAAGATTGGAAAAGACCTTTAAGTTCAAGTCCAACAAGGGCTTTTGAGTGGAGTGGAGTGGGGAAGGATGGAGCCAAGCATCTCCACATGCCAAGGGCAGCATCCCTGACCAGAACCTGTCATTCTGTAAATCTCTGCTGTGACGACTGGGGAAAAAATGCATCAGTGTGTTCACTCAACTGTGGGCCCTTTTGCTCCGAACAGGTTGCAGGTTTCCTTTTCTTTGTTATTTAAACTTCCCTTGTTTGTGCAGTTTGCAGAGCTACAGCAGCACTCACTGTTTCCACTACAGTCACCCCCTGCAGTTCCCCCTTCTGGGATACTAAGTATCTTCCCCATCAGCCAAACTACCATTTGAAAAGAACCTGCAAAACACCAAGAGCCCACAGCAAATCTGCCTGGAGCTGCAAGTCCAGGCTCAAGCTAGGTGTGCTCCAAAGCTAAGCACACAAAATGCTCAAAAGTCAAAAAAAAAGTACAGGAAAACGCAGATCAATACTACTTAATGTACAACACCCTTTGGCATTCCAGCCTTTCCCACATCTGGATTTGTCACCAACAGTACCCAGCACTGCATGGGCCATGAGATGCCACACAGGATCAGAAAACCTCTGTTCCGGATTCCACTGACACAGATAGGGCAACACTTACATCAACCTGCACATCAGTGAGCTCACTCTGTTGTGTGTGTACTTGGGTCATCAGGCAACCCCCAAATCTTACCAGTCCCCGAAAGCCAGGCACGTTCAGGGATTTGGTGCTAAGTCTGCTGGGCTGTGCCAGCCAGTGGTGCTCTCCAGCCTCCAAGAGGAACTGTCTGAATTCCTCCTATGCTGTCCCAATTGTTTCGGCAAGGAACACAGACTGGGTTTCACTTGCTGGTCACACAGACCACAGACAGCGGGGAGCCTGCAACTGGTGGGAACACACAGGGCCAGATTTGATTAAACCCTGTAGCTGCCCTTACAGCTTAAAGCTCGTCTGGGTCTGGGGTGAAGCTGGGGTCTTGCAGGATTCTAACTCTCTTTCTCCCACTTTTAGCCTCATTCTGTGCTGTCATCTGTGCTCTATCCCTAGGCATGTCTTGATGCACTTCACCTCTAACTGCAGACCACCTGCTGGCAGCACCTTCTCAGGACAGCAGAGCAGAGGTGCTGGCTTCCAGGCAGTTTGTTAATTGCTGGCATGAAGGAGCTGCAGCACCCCAGGACGCCAGAGCCCCTGGCAGGCTGGGCGCACGGTGCCTGCTCACAGCGCTGTCCTGCTCTGCTCCGCACAGAACAGCTCTCGGCGCTCTGCTCGGGGTCACCGTGCCGGTCCCCAGCCGTGGAGATCTGCATGCAGTCCACACAGCCACGTCCCTGCGCAGCACAGCAGTGCTGCCGATGGGCAAGGGGAAACCTCCCGTGTTCATTTACACAGACTGCCTCCGCTCCTGGCTCCGGCTGGCACAAACAAGAGCGAGGCTCTCCCTTCCTTCACGTTCTTTCCAGTACTTTTACACAGCGACGAGACCCCGGGCCTCCTTCAGGCAGGCCAGGCCAGGCGCGGCTCCCTCAGCCTCTCCTCGCAGGAGGGGTTCCCGGTCCCTTTAGCACTTCGGCGGCCCTGCGTTGGCTTCTCCAGAGCGCACCCGTATCTCCGCGGTTCTGAAGGCCCGGATCCGGCCGCACAACTCGCAGCCGGCCGCCTCCCCTCACAGCCTCCGCGCGAGGCCCCTCGGCCCCATCTCCCCCCCCCTTCTAGACGCTTCCGCGCCCCCCGCCGCCGCCGCGGCTCTTCCGCCTGCCGCCCCCCCGCCCTCCTCGCGCATGCGCACGACCTCCCTCGCGCCGCTCGCTCCCGCGACACCTCTCCCCTCGCCGCGCGGTTCCGAGACGGCCCTCACGGGTCGCTCCGCGCAGGCGCAGAAGGCTGGGCCTCTGTGCCGTTCCGTCTCCTTGTCTCCCCGCCCTCCGCGACGCATGCGCGGACCGGCGGCGCCGGCGTTCCTGGCGCGCGCCCCCTCCCCGCGGCCCCGCGCAGGCGCAGAGAGGTGCCGGAGGGGGCGGGTGGCTCGTTCCGTTGGCGGCGGCCGGTTCCTGTCAGCGGCGGGCGGCGGCGGCGGCGCCCGGTCCCGACGGCGAGCGGAGCCCCCGGCCTGGCCCGACCCGGTCCGCCCCGCGGCGAGCGGAGCGCCGCGCTCTCCCCCGCCGGTGCCCGCCCTCCCCTCCCCGGGGCGGCGGAGGCAGCAGCAGCGCCCCCCCCCCGGGCCGGCCCCCTCCCGCCGCCGCCCCCCTCGCCCCAGCCGGGCCGCGGAGCTGCGATGCCCTCGGACTTCATCTCTCTGCTCAGCGCCGACCTCGACCTCGAGTCCCCCAAGTCCCTCTACTCCAAGGGTGAGCGGGGCCGTGGGGGCCGGTTTGGGGGGGGGTTATGGCGGGCCGCGCTGAGCTCCGTTGCAGCCCGCCGCGGGGATGCTCGGCTCCGGCTCCGGGCCCGCTCGGCCCGCCCGCATTCCTGGCCCGGCCGCGGCCGCCTCAAGAATGCGTCCCGACAGGTTCTGCCCGCGGGGGCGGCGGGGGGCTCGCGGCCCGCCCGGGAATGCGGATGGGCCTCGCGGGGCCTGCGGCGGGGAACGGCGCTGCGGGGGGAGCGGAGCGGGGCGGCGGGGCCGGGGGAGCGGCGGCGTCCGGCGTGTGCGGCGGGACGAAGGCTGCGACCGCCGCTCCGGTCATTGAAAAGGCCGTAACGTCGCTGGGCTGGGTGAAATGATCGGAGGGGCGGCGGTGCGGGGATGCACGGCCGGACAGACGGCGTTGTGTGGCACGGGGGGCGGCTGTGCGGTGCCGCACGTTGGAGGAAGGATTGAAGTGGGATTTTTTTTCCGATTTATTTCGATTGAGGAATTTTGGAGCTGACGTTAATGTGCTCGTTAACTGTGAGGCACGTGTCGGTAACGCTGGAACTAAAAGAAATAAAAACACTTTCACGAATAAAGTACAACTTCAGAGCTCTCGCTGCCCAGGGCCGTTCAGCTGCCGTTGCCGGGCGGCGCTCTGTGCTCCTTACAGCCCTATTGCTGCAGGGCTCTGGAGCTGCCCTGTCGGACTCCGTGGTCCCGATGGGTCCTCCCCAGCTTGGTGTATTTTATGGTTCTGTGGCCTGACGTACACGTGTCCACAGCAGTAGAAGCAGGCGGCTCTAACAAAGAAAGAAAATAAAAATACAGCTGGTGAGGAAGTCAATTTAAATAATCATTTGAATGGTTGTCTTGAGCATTTGAGAAGCGCATCACTAGAACAGTCTGTAAAGCGTCACGGCATAAAGGTGTTCTCTCTAAGAATGAGGTTTCCTCAAGGGCTCGTGCTTAACTGCGCAGAACTTGTGGGCTCACTCACCTTGCTGTGAATTGTCAACATCTTCGATTTGTTTCGGTTTAATGGGACGATTGAGCGTCAGCTTCAGGTAGGAAGAGCCTCTCAAACTGGTTCATCAGGAGCACATTCTTCTGGGGGCACTGCTGTGGGGTCACAGCCTGCAGAGGGACGGCTCGTGCTGGGAGTGCCCCTAGGAGCTGTGTGTGGAGAGCTGGACAGAGCGGTGGGGGAGACCCTAAAACAAGATTTGCATTCTGTATCTTGTAGTAGTGAACGATCAAGGAGATGTTAGTTTGGAATGCGTTTTGATCTAAATTGGAAGTTAGAATGGATGGCATACTTACGCAGAATAAATAATTAATCTCTCCTCTTTGCTGCATGGTTTGCTGGCATTATCTTAGCAGGATTTTGGAAAAGATATTAGTGGCTATCTGATTAATTGGGACACGCTTGGTTGCCATTTTATCTTATAGATGGGTACAGATAAACTTATCCCGCTCACTTATGCTCTGGATAAACTTATCCTGGATGAGAGTGTAAGTACAACTGATGAGATAAAGGAGGTCCGCACAGAGCTGTGTGCTGGTGGGGAGCAGGGCAGTGCTGCCCCACGGCTGGGATCCTGCTCACAGGCTGCCCTGTGGCTTTTCCTCCATGCCCTGGGTTGTGAATGTGGCTACATTGCTTGGTGCCTGCGTATGAGTGCCAGCTGCGGTCACGGAGGTGTTTTGGGCAGGAGAGAAGCAGGAGGACTGGGGTCTTCCAGGGGGTCAATGAAGCTTCGTAGTGTTTGTGCTTTGCTTGGTTGAAAGGGGAGCAGAAGAGTATTAGCGCTCGGATTAAATCATGCCGTCTGCTCTTAGGGAAGAAGAGAGGTTATATTTGAGTGTGCGGAGAGTTGGGATGAGGCTGCTGTGGTCGTTAGGCCCGGCCTGCTCCCCGCGGCTCTTACGTCACCTGGCACGCTGTCGCTGCGCGTTAGCGTTCTCTCTGCGTGGCCACTTCAGTGCCGATTCTTGTCCTCGTGTTTCTGTCACAATGTCCAACATAACTTCTGAACCCACACAGCCGAGAGGCAATTGAAAGAGAGAGTCATCGATTTAAAATTTGCTCCGATTATTCTTTTCAGGGTGCTTTTTCCCATTCATGTTTAGCTTGGGAAAGAGAGCATTTTCCTTTGAGTGTCCCAAGAGCTTTATCTTCCAGTTTGTACTTCTGTACTTGCAGCTCGCATGCATCCGCACTTGCTGAGTTCAGACAGTCTCCTCCCTCTCTCTTCCTCACTGCTCTGTTCACACCGATGTTTCTGTAGCCCTGCATTGAACTTCTGGCTTGGGGAACAATCATGTTAAAACAAACTCAGTTTTTCCCTTCTTCATTCTCTTTTTTTTAAAAAAAAAAAAAAAAGAGAAAGAGAAATTATGATTTTATGACCGTGGATGGAGTTTGCTGTGGGTCTCCTTGAATGACTTACTCTGACTCAAGGAAGGGACGTGTGGAAACTAGCTGTGGGAAGGGTGGGCCCACGTCTGGCTCAGCGTGCCCAGCAAGCAGCTGGGATCCCTGGGCTGTGGGATCCCCGGCCTTGGGGACACGGCTGCCAGGGCTGTGAGTGCTGAGCAGTGGCTCTGGAGCTCATCCCTGCAGTGCTGAGGACTGGAAAGCTGGCTTTTGGTGTGCATACATCACCAGTACTTCTGAAAGTAGATCCTTTGTGACCGTTGTCAAAGGATGGTGTCTGCTAATTGGTAATAGAGATAGTGATCAATTTTAGTCTTCTGCTCTTTATGTAACATACTGTCCTTTTTGAAATAAATCAACCCAAAATGCACACAGATTGGTAACGCAGTAGAAAAATCACTGAAGTGTAAAACCAAAAACCTTGAGGCTGGTTGTTCTGTGGTTGAATATCATATGCAGCATTCAAGTATAACAAAGTTAACTATTCATTATGAACAGGCAGAGGTACAAAATTGCAATCAAAGCAGTTCATTCAATGTCAAGCACTAACTCTGAACTGATTAAATGTGCTAATTTAGCTAATGCTTTCATTCTGAACAGCTAAAAAGTAATGCATAGTAAAAATTGCATCTTTTCACTGGAGCAGGTAAGGTCAGAGCTCCTTACTCTTTTTTTTCCCCGTTTTGTTTTTCATATCTGAATACCTGTAAAAATGCAGGGCTTTTTGGAGCTTGGAAGCACCAAGAAAAATGTGAGCGGTCTCCTGAATAGCTCCTTTGCCCTGAATATGTCATGTAGTCAGAACTCGGTTTCCTTCCATGCTTATGTGACTGTGATCTACTTGTGCCCACTGGGATTTATTGGCACACTCCATACGCTTTGTAGCAATTTTTTTTTTTACTAGAATTTTTTTTTCTTTCCATGATGCAAGAAGTAACTCTAGCAAGGCAATGGATGATCAAAGAAGAGTGGAACAGGCGCCTTATGAAAGCAGCAAGAGCCTGCTTTTACTTCTGAACTTCAGAACAAATACGAGCAGTTTTCAGGAGTAGAAATAACGTGTTTTAGCTTCTTTGAGGAGCTCCAAGAAGGTGCTGCAGCAGACAGGCTGGGCTGAGTGGTTCTTTCTGCAGGCTGATGGTGACCAGAGCACAGTTCTTCCAAAGCCCTGTCAGTTCTGCCAGCCTTGGACATGTCTGACTCTCCTTCGAGTCCATCTGTCTTATTGGCTTCAAAATCAGAGCTATGGAGCACGTTGCTGCAAAACAATTGTCTGGATTTGGGGCAGGGTTTTGAATTCCCAGCTTTTCTCACCAGAATTAGAAAATTCTGTTGGAACAGCCCCTCGCTCTGCTGCGTGTTCCTACCCAGTTCCACACACTGTGCCAACGCAGTGTTTTCTTATGTCTCCAAACGAATGGGATTGGGAAACCAGTCTCGGAGTACACTGTGCTTTGAGTCAGGTTTTCTGACGTTCTGCCCCTCATCTGTGCAGCTACACTGTGGTGCATCCAGAGAAGACGGGGCGACTGAGGGCTGGGGTTGGGTGCCGGGGAGGCAGGCCTTGGGGCGGAGCTGCCAGCCATGTGGCTGTGTGTCAGGATGAGGTGCTCCTTGTTCCCTGCCTGCTCCCTGCTGCGCTCTGCGTTCTGCCTCACAGGTTTCTCGGGATCCAGAAGTTGGAAAACTACATGCATCCGCTGTGCAGATTTTCCTGGTTGCTGATATGCTGCAAGTCTTTCTCAATGCTTTCCTTTCCTCTCGCCTTCATCTTTAGCTTTTTTAGTCCACTATGTACTTTGTGGACACGAGGTTTTGCCTCTTTGCATTCCTCGTACTAAGTTTTGCTCGAGAAACTTTGTTTTTGCTTTGTTTTTCTTACAT